TTTGCTCTGTTTTAGGGTTCTTTTCGTCTGTCTTAGGTTGAGGACGGCGTCCAATACCCTTCTTATAAGATAGGAACCCTAATCCTTGTGAAAAGAGACTTTTTCCGAGTATTGACTCGGTCCGAGTCAGAACTCTGACTCGGTCGAGTCAGAACGAATCAGCCCAAGCCCATTGTCAACTCTTGACTCGGCCCATTTAGTATTGACTCGGTCCGAGTCAAAACTTTGACTCGACCGAGTCAAAACATCAGCCAAGCCCAAAACACTTTCTGGGCTTCGGAACTGACTCGGTCCGAGTCAAGTACTGACTCGGTCCGAGTCAGAAGGCTGAAAACGTCCCGACACTCTGATTTGATCCGAAAACCGTTTTTCCGACCAAATCCAAGTCTTCCTTTCCGAAACTTCACATATAAGTCCATCCCTAATGGTGTGTGACCCTGTAGGCCCATTCGCAGTGGCAGCGGCCTCGAGAACCATTCCTGATCTACAAGTCATGGTTAGCCTCTAGCAAGACGCCATGACCACCCACGTTGAATTGAGTTAGAGGTGATCTAACCAAGGCAATAACAGCTCGAGTTCTGATCCTTTATCTCACGATATCATGTGTTGAACAAGGGCATGGTTTGAGCCACCCTTCAAGTTCAACCGCTTTCTCGTCTTGGCAAATCGACTAATAAAATAGATGCAACTTCATCTATAGCGTGGCCACGCATTTTCATAGTCCGACTTCCACGAGAGGGCCCAGCGATATCTCTCCTATTGAGGAGGTGATAAGTCCCATATTGCATGTCTATTATCTCCATATGATTCGTGAACGTATCTGATCAACGCCGTTATGATCATCCGGTTAAAGACGACGTTTGACGCAGTCAAGATACGCCACTCCTCATATCAGATACTCTAGACATCTCAGGTCTGAGGATCCAAGAACAAACCGCTTTATGAGATTCAAGTCATGACTCTGTCCATGTGACAATCTCATGCGGGTCAACCAGTCACTCGTTCACAACGAGTACCCATGATTGTGATATGCATCCAATGCATCAATCACACCTCATGCTAGTCTTAATTCATCATTGTTCCCACAATGATAACTGACCAGGGAGTTTAGAATCATTCTATAATGATTCAAGGATGCCGAAATATAACAAACATGCCAATCATATAACGGGAATGTAATGCATTCATAAACCAATGAATCAATACAAAGTCAAAATGTCAAATCACGGATCATCCTAGAGCATTACAACCAACAGGATAACCCATAATAGTAAGCAAAGAGGATCATAACAATAGTGATGACTCCAACAATTAGAATCGGCTTGCTTTGACCTCAACCATATGTTCTTCCATCTTCAATTTCAAATTCACCTTCTCCATCTCACGGTTCACAACTTCTTCAATCTTCTTCCATCTTCTTCAAGTTCAGACTCATTTGTTCTTCCACCTTCTTTTGCTCTTCTATCTTCTGCAACATCAGATTAACCTTCTGCGATTCCAAGTTCATCTTCTGCAACTCATTTTTGAAAACATCCGAATACGCTTTCATTTTATCCAATTCATTCCGACAACCTTCATTCTTCTCAATCAACGCATCATCAAGCCATTTGAAGAAATGCGAACATTTTCTCTGAAATATTACACAACACAAACATCAATATCTTTAAAACATAACACAAATACGAAAAATACAATTAAGCACAAACCTCCTGTGAAGCACAAGTAAAGAAAACTCTTCCAGGATTCTTGTCGGTTTTGGATATCCTTCTTGAAACCGGTCCTCCACATTCGCATCGAAAAGGAATACCTTTAGACTGACTTGATTCACTTCTTCCCCATTTTGATTCAGCGTTCGAATTTGACATGCTTTCAGATTGTTGATTCATCTTAAACTGCTTCAAAATTCCGATAAAGACATCACATTGTATTACCAAACGAAAATAAAGGCCTAAACCCCATTAGTCAACCATAACTTCTTCTGATTTCGAACCCAACCAGCATAACATTATGTAAAAGCAAAAAACTATACAACTTTCGACGCTTACCGTTTCCGCCGAAATCGACCGAGCTCCGACCTCAGCAGGAGTCGCACAACTTGGGTTAGAGAGAACCGAGAGTTTTTCAGTGTTCTAGAAGAAGAAGATAGAAGAGACAGAGAGAAGAAGAAGACTGAAGGAAGACAAGACAATGCCAATCTGGGTCTCTTTCGAACAAGTGGGTTAGGGATTTAGGGTTTCTTTTGCTGATGTGGACTAAAAACTACTGTGGCGACCACGTCATTCGATGATTGGGCATTCCGTCTATACCACATCAGCATTTTCCGTCGGGGTTTAACGACCTTAAGACCACATCACATAACGGGGATTAATCATTTAACGGTACTCGATTACAGGTATTTTTTAATCAGTTTTCAAAAATACATGTATTATTCAATAATTTAAAAAATACAGGTATTAAATTGAGACCAAAGAAAAGTACATGTATTTTACAGGGATTCTCCCAAAAACAAATAACAAAAAAAACACAACCTTTTATTGAAAATTCACGCGAGATTTTTTTCTTTTTGTAATAGAGCAAATAAAATAAAGGCAAGAGGCGTCGAACTCAAACTTTATTATTTAGATTATTGTTCATTTAAATACTTGTGTGTATTTTTTTTAATTTCAAATATAAATTTCAGAAATGATTTAGTATGAGTTACTTGATTTGTTTATTCATAAATGTTAGTATAATTGGTGATTTTACCCAAAAAAAAAGTTGCTACTATAGTAACTAGAATTTACAAATTTTGTGGGTATTTTGTATTTTTTACAATACAATAAATAGAGTTATAATCGTACCTATCTATATTATTATAACTTTGATATTAGTTGGACGTTATACGTAGCTCTCTTTATTCGTAGGGGCCAACAGTTATACGTAGCTCTAGTGTGTGTCTATATATATATCACATTGATTATATATTGATTATATCTTTGTTTATATATATATATATATATATATATATATTCGAATTGGATTTATAAACTTACCTATCTATATTATAACTTATACGTATCTCTCTATTCGAATTGGACGTTATACGTATCTCTCTATTCGTAGGGACCAACAATTATAGCTCTAGTGTGTGTGTGTGTGTATATATATCATATTGATTATATATTGGTTAAATCTTTTCTTTTGGCAAAATAGATTTTTTTTCGATTTATCACCGGTAATAAAATTTTACCAATTCCGTAAGTGCAGAAACTCCTGTATACTTATTCTGCATGAAGTATGAAATGAACCCTTTTTAATACAACTAATTTTGACTCAAAATATTTAATTATTTTGAGTTTTTTAAGAAACCATGTATATAATTCTTTGTATTATTGTATATAAATATAAGTATATAACCTAAGGTCGATTTAAGAAATGCATTGGTCAAAGATTTTGAATTCAACTCGTTTTAAAGATGATGTATATTAATAAAGACAAATAATAAGTCAAAGCTACTCAATCAAAAGAGGTCTTTGGTGTAATTGGTTAAAAAAGTTGGGTGTTTTTGTCTTAACTCTCATGTTCGAGCCGTCGTTGGAGAGAAAAAATATACGTAATTTAATTATAGTAAAACTGTTTTTAGATTCAAAATATATATATAATTAGGTCGAAAATTCGATAAACCAATTTGAATAATAATAATAATAATAATAATAATAATAATAAATTCAAAATAGTTGAATCGTCACGACCCTTGCTTTTATGCATGGATTAAGTCAGCCCTCGCAAAAACAATGCAGCTTTTACACATTTTTTTTAGAATTAAATTAATTTTCGTGGATATTAAATTGAATACAAAATGGTAGTTACATGGTTAGTGTTGGCAATTGATTAAATAAACGTAGAAAATTATACGTTCATAACTTCTTCGTGGATATTAAATTCGACACTAGGGTGGACTACAAGGTGACAGTTACAGTTTGGCTAGTGTTGACAATTAATTAAATAAAACTTATCAAGAAAAATATAGAAAATTTTATATGCTAATAATGTTTTTTATTATAAATTTAATTTATTTTTTAAATACCGATCATATAATTGAACTTACTCCATCATTAATACAAATAATCTGACAGTATTTTTAAAATATATATCATATTTCTTTCAATTTCTCCAAAAAACTACAAAATAAAAATACATTAAAATATTTTATAAAAAATGGAATAAATATGCTGTTTCAAAGTTTATTTACGAACCAATAAACTTGGAAGAAGCTTTTAAAATCCAAAAACCAAAAAAACTGATAATCAAATTTTATAAAATTAGTTTTACTAAAAACTTTTAAAGCCGTTTTAATGAAAAAATCAACTAAAATACTCTAATTTTTTGGATTTATAAAAATAAAAAATCAAAAACTCAAAATAAAAATTAATACCATTCAAAACCTTATTTTTGTTGGTAATTATCAGAGTGCCGTAATTTTTAACTCACATCTTTTTATCCTCTCATTTATATTCATTGTTACTACTTCAAAAACCCGAATTCGATTAAACTAGTTTAAACTTAAAAATCTACACGAGTAAACCGATTCTAACCAATTTTATTTCAATTGGATACAATTCAACCAAGTATATTTTTCAACTTAAAAAAGTGAACAACTGATCTAAGATTATGACTATGAATCATGATAATTTTTATTTTGAGATTTTTGTTTTTGGATTTTAACTTTTCGTTATTTTTGTAATATCTGTAAAATAAATTTTTACTAAGTAGTTTTTCGAATTTTTAGAAAAATTAAATCTATAAAATTTTAATTATCATTTTTTTTTATTTTAGATTCTAAAAACTTCAAAAACTTATACATCCAACCTTAAGGCCACCATAATTCTGTTTTAATATTTTACTTAATCCGAAACCTTGATATTTATATATCAACCAACAATAGAATTGCTAAATTTATAGAAAATTCATTATTTTGAATAGAGAAAAAAATTATAATATTTATTTCATCTTTTTTTTTCTTTCTATTTTTAACCAAAATAAACGTTCTTTTATTCTTGAGGACTTACTTCATCCTCTGTAGTTCAAAACTTAATATCGGCTGACGGCTTCCGGGAGAAAAAACAGCGATCGAGTTTGGAAAGACAGAAAAACTGTCTGGACGGTCGAGAATGGAGACTAGAAGAGGATGGGGCCTATACAAGATTTCAGGACATTGCTCAAAACGTACGGAACTCTGGGCGAGAAGTGCTCGCTCCTGACCAGATCCACCAGCAACGGGAAGAAGCTCGGCGAATGCCTCCTCATCGAACCCGTCTCCAGTCCCGACAACGCTTCCAATGCCGACATGAGCAGCCCCGTTCTCGCCGCCGCCTCTTCTTTCCGCTCCGTCTCCATCGGAACGATCCATCTCACGCTCTGTTTCGAAGGCGGCGAGAGCAGATTCCCCGTGCACGACAGGTACATCTTCACTACTTTCGTGCACTCGGCCACCAGCCGTGACTCGAGGTCTAGCTCTCGGGACACGTTCGGGTTATGGTCGGTCATGTGCCGGAGGAAGTTCATGTAAGAGCCGTAAGCTTCGTTCTCAAAGCTGAGCAGTTGCGGCTCCGACAGGTTTTGAACAGTGCAGGCCCTCTTGAACTTCCGACAGAGAACCACGTCGCCGTTCAGTTGCTGCGAGTGGGAGGCGATGCAGGAGAGAACGTCAACGAGGATCGTAATGTGAGTCGCCTTGAACGACCGTTGATGTTTTCGATACAAGTTACTGACAACCTGAAACCAAAAGACAGAGAAAAATGTTGTCCCAAATCAGTTCGGGAAAACTCATGTTTTCGGGGGGAGAAGAGAGAGGAAGAGAACGATACCTCAATGATCTGTAACAGGACGTCGATGTGATTCTTTGTTCGGGAAACCACGTATGACATTGTCTGCAGATTGTCTTCGTCGAGTTCGACTTTGTCTACACTATCGCCAGAGATTGTTTCTACGTCATCGATATCATCCATTGTTCTCAGGACCTTCATAAAACCTGCGAATGTCAGAGAGGCCGCTTCCTTCAGTGCCGAAAAAATCTCCGTCCACTCTTCTTCAGAGACGTTGCTCGCCAACCCGTCTGCTAAATTCAGCAGAACGGCGATTCCCGAGCCGGGAAAATGCTGAACC